CTGTGGGAGAGGCCATTGGAGATCAAAGAGGCAATAGAATCAGAGGAGTTGAGTAACTACTGGACTGTATAATGTCCTTCCCACCTCCAAACTCATGTCCATTCAGAATCCCCACAATGGGGCCTTATTTAGAAGCAGGATTTTTGCAGAAATACTTAAGATCAGGTCATCCTGGATTAGAAGGGGCCCTAAATCCTTTAACTGCTGTGTTTATAAGAGACTAGACAGGGACAGACACATATGTACACATGGGGGAAAAGAAAGCCATGTGATGACAGAGGCAAAGGTTGCCCAAGGCATAGAAAGGGATGTTGGTGACCATCAAAGCTAGGAGGAGGTGAGGGAGGATTCTCCTTGGCCTTCAGCGCTTTGACTTCAGAGTTCCAGTGTCCAGGACAGAAGGAATACACTGTTGTTTTGAGACCCCTGGTTTATAGTGATTTCCTATGGCCACCCTAGGAAACTAGTGGAGTAACCCCTCAAGGAGTAGCCGCGATTCTGAATAAAGGCCCACGTGAGCAGCTGTGGCCGGCTTATCTCCATCTGCTTCATGCATGCCGACTGCATGTAGAGGCGCTCTCTTCAGAACCGATGTGTCTTGATAGTTGTATGACTGTTTGCTGCCTCAGGGCTGTGATTCCGCTCCCTCTCTCTTGTATTCTTACCCAAGTCATTTGTTTGATCAGAAATTCGACCCCACGCTTCTACTGTGTTTCTGCACTGCCATTTCTCTACTCAAGGCCTGATCATAATTCTTCCTCTCTGTACAAGTGCAGGGCAGGTGCAAAACCACATGTACAGTTTTTGGGCCTCCTGATCCAGCAGATGTGGATCACAATCCCAAAAGGCACAATGCTGCCCACCATACTACCGAATGTTGAAATCTGGAAAGCACAACACCTCTAGACCCTAAAATATGGCGAATCATAATCATGAAAGATGCAAATCCCAAACATCGAATAGGTTTGAGCAATTTTGGTTGTATGTAGGATTTTTGCACCGTGGTAGACAGAAGGAGCGTCTGGAAACTTGGTACAGCGTGACTTTGAGTGTGGCTGTTTCCAAGATAGGTATGTGAAGCTGGGTGGACCACATGGAGTAGACAATGTCAGATCTCCCAAACATGTGACTGCACTGACAGGTCAACCGCAGCAAAGGCTTTGTGTGTAAGTGTGTGTGTACATAGGAACATCTGCACTTTCTGAGGAAATGCAAAGATGGACTTCTTGTACATCTGCACTAGTGGAAAGACGTAAGTTGTCAAGGTTGTGTCTCTTTGGATGGCTGCATGTGTGATGGCCATCCATCCCAGTTTTTGATGGCCCTTGTCAAAAGACTTAGGTTGTCTGTTACAGAGCATGCAGTTACCTACCAGAGTAGGTAACGCATTTAGACAGAGTGCTACTGCATTTAGACATTTTGCTTTTTGACCTGCTTCTTTAAGAAGATGATTCATCTGCTCATGACTACTAGACTCGTGCGACTGTGGTTAGTGCACCTGAGTGTAAACACTTGCAAAAATATATTATTATTACTATTACAATATTATTGTTATTGTTGCCTGCTGCATTGTGAAAGTACCTATGGAACATTCTGTTGTGTTTTTATGTTTTGCAAGTGAATCTCTTTTAAAAATGTAAATAAATGTCAAGGATTATTAAAATTATTTTTTTCAGGATTATATTTTCAGGATTTTGGGATTTTAGTCTCTAGTAATTTTGTTCTTTTGGGACTGCGACATTTGAGATTTTGGGCATTTGGGATTGCATCTTCCTGGGTTGTGGCCTAAACCATGTTCTTTGGATATTTGGTAGAGCACTCTTGTAAACCTCTGTGGGCCTGTGTTTATTTGATGTTTATTTATTGGTAGATTTAAGATGACAATTCACTTCTTTTTGTTGTTTTTATGTTCCAAACCATGAACATGGGAAGTGTTTTCACATATTTTGATATTCTTTAATTTCTTTTAGCTTTTTTGTAGTTTTCCAAAAACTAGTCTTTCTCCTCCCAAAAAATGAGGTTATTAAAATATTTCAGGCACAAAAAGAGACTTCATACAAGGAAAAACTGTATACTCACTGAGCATTCTAGGAAATAAAACTTTTTTTTTTACATTTTTTTTTTTTTTGACAGCAGAGTGGAGAGTGAGACAGAGAGACAGAGAGGAAGGTCTTCCTTTACCATTGGTTCACCCTCCAATGGCCGCCGTGGCCGGCGTACCACGCTGATCCGATGACAGGAGCCAGGTGCTTCTCCTGGTCTCCCATGGGGTGCAGGGCCCAAGCACTTGGGCCATCCTCCACTGCACTCCTGGGCCACAGCAGAGAGCTGGCTGGAAGAGGGGCAACCGAGACAGAATCCGGCACCCTGACTGGAACTAGAACCTAGAACCTGGTGTGCCGGCGCCGCAAGGTGGAGGATTAGCTTATTGAGCCTCAATTATTTTTATATACAGAAGATTGATTTAGTATATATTAAGTAAAGATTTCATCAGTTTGCACCCACACAGAAACACAAAGTGTAAAATACTGTTTCAGTACTAGTTATAGCATTACTTCACATTGGACAACACATTAAGGACAGATCCCACTTGAGAAGTAAGTACACAGTGACTCCTGTTGTTGACTTAACAATTTGACACTCTTGTTTATGGCGTCAGTAATCTCCCTAGGCTCTAGTCATGAGTTGCCAAGGCTATGGAAGCCTTTTGAGTTTGCCGACTTTGATCTTATTCCGACAGGGTCATAGTCAAAGTGGAAGTTCTCTCCTCCTTTCAGAGAAAGATACCTCCTTTGATGGCCCTGTTCTTTCCACTGGGATCTCACTTGCAGAGATCTTTCATTTAGGTCTTTTTTTTTTTTCCCCAGTGTGTCTTGGCTTTCCATACCTAAAATATTCTCATGGACTCTTCAGCCATATCTGAATGCCTTAAGGGCTGATTCTGAGGCCAGAGTGCTGTTTAGGACATCCGTCATTCTATGAGTCTGCAGTGTATCCCACTTCCCATGATGGATCGTTCTCTTCCTTTTTGATTCTATCAGTTAGTATTATCAGACACTAGTCTTGTTTGTGTGGTCCCTTTGACTCTTAGACCTATCAGTGTGATCAGTTGTGAACTGAAATTGATCACTTGGACTAGTGAGATGGCATTGGTACATGCCACCTTGATGGGATTGTATTGGGATCCCCTGGCACATTTCTAACTCCACCATTTGGGGCAAGTCTGATTGAGCATGTCCCAAATTGTACATCTCCTCCCTCTCTTATTCCCACTGTTATATTTAACAGGGATCACTTTTCAGTTAAAATTTAAACACCTAAGAATAATTGTGTGTTAATTACAGAGTTCAACCAATAGTACTAGAACAAAACAAAGAAAAAATACTAAAATGGATAAAGTATTACATTGTACATCAACAGTCAGCACAAGAGCTGATCAAGTCACTGTTTCTCATAGTGTCCAGGAAATAAAACTTAACAAATACAATTGAAGGCTTCCGTTCCCTCAGAGATATCTGCTCTTTTGAATGTTTATCATTCCCTCCATCCACGGTAGGAAGAACATTAGCCCCCAAAGCTCATTGTATTAATATGTAATTAACAGAATCCTGTAAGGCCTGACTTTTGTATGTATCTCTTTAGAGAATGGTATTTCTTTCTGTCAACTATCTTAGAATTATTACCAACTTGAAACCTCCTTGCATGTCAATATGTGAAATCCCATCATAAAGGTGATAAGTTCCTATTGAATTTTTAAGTAATTAAAATTGAAGTCTCAACATATGATAGCTGATCTTTGGTTATAAGTTCTCTTCTTCCTCCTCCTCCTCCTTCTTCATCCTGTTTCTCTTCCTCTTCCCCTTCCTCCTCCTTCTCCCTCTTTCTCTTCCTCTTCTTTTTCTTTTCATCCAAGGGTGATAACTGAGTTTTTGTTTTGCTAAAAGGTAGATTTAATTTTCCAGCTCCCTCTTTTATGATTCTGGATCCCTATTTGTGTCCCAAGCCTGAAAACTTTGTTCTGTCATTACATGACCAGTTCAGTCTGAACCCATTTATTATCAAAAGCAGGAGCTACCCCCTTGGCATTCCCAAGCCAAGCATCTGTAGCAGGAACACCTTATTGCCCATCTGGGGATGCAAGGACTGAGCCCTGGAAATTTCTCATATTGTTTTTTTTTTTTTTTAATTTATTTGAAAGTCAGAGTTACACAGAGAGAGAAGGAGAAGCAGAGAGAGAGAGGTCTTCCATCCACTGGTTCACTCCCCAGATGGCCACAATGGCCAGAGCTGCGCCGATCCAAAGCCAGGAGCCAGGAGCTTCTTCCGGGTCTCCCATGTGGGTTCCCAAGCACTTGGGCCATCTTCTGCTGCTTTCCCAGGCCATAACAGCTGGACCGGAAGTGGAGCAGTCGGGTCTCAAACCAGCGCCCATATGGAATTCTGGCACTTCAGGCCAGGGTGTTAACTCACTGTGCCATAGCACCAACCCCTCATATTGGTTTTAAAACTGAGTTATGCTTTGTAAAAATAAAAAAGGAAGAAAGGAATGAAGGAAAGTTTGCTTTATTGTTGACTGGTACTTTATATCAACAGGATTTTCTGATTTCCTCATCTATTATTTTTTTTTCCTGAAAATAGAAGCCAAAATGGGTTTGTTGATTTTCCCCAGGAAACTAACAACATTAGAGAGAACCCAGTTCAGTTCAGTAAACAGTTATTGGATGCCTTCTATATACCAGCTATGGTTTAGGGAAATCGCTAGTTTTGTAGCAGAATTCCACCTTTATTTGGAAAACCCAACATATGTGCCTGTCTTCCTCACCATCTTTGTGCAAGAATCAATGAAAAGGATCACATTATAGAAGTATCAGCAGATAAGTTCTAGCACTCCTGCTATTACAGTGCATAGATTACAAAACCATTACCCACACACAAGGTAAGTGGAAGAATTATAACAAAGTTCATGTATTTTTCAAAATTACTTTTTTCTTTGTGTTTAGATCTTCCTATACCTCAGCTTAAGAGATATAGTAATATGTGGCCAAGTTTGTCATGCCTGGATGTTGATGATACAAACAAGGTCATTGTGGAACACTGTAAGTAGATATAAATACAGTATGTTTTTGGTTTCTTCAAGGAGAATAGACTGTTGTTAAACTGTCTGTCCTAGGGACCGCCTTCTTCCCTGTCGTCCTGTCTATAGCCAACAAGTGCATTTGCTTTTCTTTTGTCCAAGAACAAGCCTGGAGGAAGAGATAGAAAAGATGATTTTTTAGGAGCTACATTATTAATACTTTAAAATTGAAGTGGTAGGGGCTGGATTATGACAAAGAGGGTTAAGCTGCTGCCTGCCACACTGGCATCCCATATGGACGCTGGTTCATGTCCCAGATGCTCCACTTCCAATCCAGCTCCCTGAAAACAGCCTGGGAAAGTGGCAGAAGATGGTCCAAGAGTTTGGGTCCCTACCACTCACCTGGGAGACCTGGTTTGTTTCTGGCTCCTGGCTTTGGCCTGGCCCAACACTTGGCCATTGTAGCCATCTGGGTGGTGAACCAGTGGATGGATGATCTCTCTCTCTGTCTCTCCTTCTCTCTGTATAACTCTTTCAAGTAAATAAATAATGATTTTACAAAAAGAAAAATTAAAACGGTAGATATAAATTTGAACCTTATATTGCATTCACACAAAGCCTCATCATATTCTATATATTTTACCCTACCTTGGTTTCCCTGTTAATGTATGCCCGCTTCCTTTCCATGAGCACAGACTGTAAAGTGAGCCCTAGGCTGTGGGAAGAACACTTCAAAATGTGTGATTTTTTTAATGACCTTCATAACTCAGAATTTGGAAGGTTTAGTTCTACAATAAAGAAAGGATGACCTTCATGTACCTGGCTGATGGTGAATAGGATTGGCAAGAGGTGGCTTCTGTGAGCTCTGGGTGGCCAGGACTGATTCATAAACAACAACATTGATACTGTAATATTGACAGTGTGTTCAGTTAAAAGTTGAGGTTTGCGACCATCCAGTTTCTCATTACCTTTTGAACAAAGCTATTCTTTGTTCTCAAATGTTTGTTATGATTTTGCCACATCTGCACACCAAAAAAATAAGGCCAGAAATGTGAGGAAGAGCAGGATGTAATTGTGGAAAGAGAAACGTGCTGAACATAGACAAGCTTAATTTTGTTTTCCAGCTTGGATTTTCACTGCCTGTGCTCTGTCCTCACCCAGAGAGGCCTCTGGGCAGAGCACCGGCTCTTTTCCTAACCCCTGCCAGGCTTTTGCACAATCTGTCCTTTTCTTAATACTGTGCATATTCTTTCTGCTCCAGACCATTTGGATTCCATTTTCTTCATTATGATTTTCCAAAAATAACAATCCCCCCACCCCCAAACCCTCTCACATAAGTCAGATTTATCCCTTTAAAGTCAGTGGTTCTGAGAGTGGTCCAGGGACCAACAGCCATCAGCATCACCCAGGAACTTGTTGGAAATGCCAGTTCTCAGGCCCCACCCCAGACCTGCTGAGTTAGAAAGTCTAAGGATAGCAATCATCAGTTTTCACAGTCCTCCCGGATGATCCTGATGTGGGTAAAAGTTTGGGGATCACTGCCTTAAACTTGACATAAACTTAAGACAGGAATACCTGAATTGTTGGCTAAGGTGCACTCACCAAGGCAGAATCAGTTCCCTTCTGGCCATAGTTGCACAGAGTATGAGTAGAGCTGCAGAGCCAAGAATGGGGTGGTGTCCTCATGGGATGTAAAAGTCGAGTTGACTTATTGAGCTGAAGCCCCTGGTGTCAGCTCCTCTTAGTTACTTTACGTTTTGGACTTTCTGAAAAATGGCGCCAGGCCACTGATTCTTAGGTCAGTCTGAACGTGTGCTATCATCGGTCTTGCAATCATTAACAATTGGAGGGGTGGTGAAGTCTACAGATAACTGGACCTTAGACAATAGGGAGTGTTGCCACCACTCATTACTTGATGGCATAAGTGATCATCATTGTTGAGATCACAGTGTCATCCAAGAAACAGATAAGAGAAGTCTTTGGGGAGACAATATTTGATTTTTTAAAGAAGATCCATGCTAGCGTTGTGGTGCAGCAGGTTAAGCCACCGCCAGCAGTGCTGACATCTAATATAGGTACTGGTTTGAGTCCTGGCTGTTCCACTTCCCATCCAACTCTCTGCTAATGTGTCTGGGAAAGCAGCAGAAGATGGCCCAGGCACTTGAGCCCTTGCTACCCACAGGGTGACCTGGATGGAGTTCCTGGCTCCTGGCTTCTGCCTGGCCCAGCCCTGGCTGTTGTGACCATTTAGGGAGTGAACTAGCAGAGGGAAGATATCTTTGTGTTTCTCTCTTTGTCTGTAACCCTGTTTTTCAAATAAATAAATAAATAAATCTTTTAAAAATAAAAAATAAATGTTTATTTGAAAGGCAGAGATCTTACATCTGCTGGTCTATTCCCCAAATGGCTTCAATGACCAGGGTTGGGCCAGGTTGAAGCCAGGAGGCTAGAACTCCATCTGGGCCTCCCAACTGGGTGGCAGGGACCCAAGCACTTGGGCCACCTTCTGCTGCTTTCCCAGATGCATTAGCAGGGAGGTGGATCGGAAGCACAGCAGGCAGGCCTTAAACCGGCACGCGTATGGGACGCCAGTGTTGCAAGCAGCAGCTTAACCTGATGTGCCACAATGCTCGCTCCCAATATGTCCTTTAATTTTTTTTTAATTGTTGGAGTCTTCTCCCCAGTGTCTCTTTGGACTGAAAAACATAAACTTGTTCCAGGTTTCAAAAATAGTACTAGGGCAAGAATAGTACTATGTAGTACTAGCATAGAAGTCTGTATTGGAAAATGCTAAAGTGTATTTTTGGCTGTGTGCATGTAAAGGCATCTGGCAACAGGTTTTTCTTACTTACATTTTAGTCTTACTCCATGCTCAATTTAAAAAATTTCCTTACTCTATATTTTGTGCTGGTCTGTTCTATTTTTTTGAATTAATAATAATAGCTAATATTTATTGAGTGCTAGTTGTGTGGCACCTTACTTGCCTTTTTCTCTGTTTATCCGTTGCAGGGTTAGGCATTGTTATTTTTCCCACTTTACAGATGACAGAACTAAGGCTGAGCGAAGAAACTGCCCAACTTGTTAAGTGGCCAAGATGGTATTCAAATACTTGTCTGTTCAACTACAGAGTGTGTGCTCTTGATTAGCAAATATTTATAAGGGACTGCCAGACCTGCCATTTGCTTTCCACCTAGCAGGCAGCATAAAATTTCGGCCCCTTGAGTTCTTGTAATATAGTCTTGAGCTCTCAGATCCCAGTCTCATAAAAATGTTGGCATCAAGGAGTCATATTCATGAAGGATTTGAGTCTGGCACATCTTCTAAATGTCGTAAATTTTGTCCTTCCATTGAATCGTCCAATCAGGTTTTCTCCTTCTGAGTTGTATTTTCTTTGCTCTAAAGTCAGCTTCAGTCCAGTGTTCTTGTTTGTTGTTGTTTAAAGATTTATTTATGTATTTGTAAGTCAGAGTTCCAAAGAGAGAGGAAGAGCCAGAGGGAGAGAGGGATGTTTCATCCTCTGGTTCACTCTACAGATGACCACAATGGCCAGCACTGGGCCGGTCCGAAGCCAGGAGCCAGGAACTTCTTCCAGTTCTCCCACGTGGTTGGTAGGGGCCCAAGTGCTCGGAACATCTTCTGTCGCTTTTCCCAGGTCATTAGCAGGGAGTTGGACCAGAAGTGGAGCAGCCGGGATGTGAACTGGTGCCCATATGGGAAGCTGATGCTGGCTTCACTTACTATGCTGCGATGCCCCGCCCAGCGTTCTGTTGTGTGGAAGCCCTCAGTGTATTTCATGTCTTCTGTTGGAGGGCAGGTACGCTGTTCCCTGTCTTCTGCTGTTAGATCCTGCAGTGGGTATCCTGTCCTCATTTCCGGGACACACATGTATGATCACATCTTCAGGGCCAGCTCCTGGAGGTGGAATTATTAGGATGAAGGTGGATTTAGAATCATTAATGTGTACAGAATGATGGCGTACCTTCTGCTTCAAAACTTTTCTTAACATCTCTGCTCTTTGATATTTGATATCTCATTGCTATTTTAATTTGTCTCAATTCACGAGACTGGACATCGATTGACTCATGTTAAGTCAATTGCATTTGTGTTTTTTATCCTACTTCACTGTATTTTTTATCCGTCAACCTAAATCATTTTTAGAATGAAAAGGAATAGTGTGTGCATGTGTGAGTGCATGTATGTGTGTGTGTGTTATTTTTGAAATTTGCATACTCTAGTAAATAGAGCACTCAGATTAACATTTCACACTTTTTTCTATTGGGGAATTAGGTGATGAAGAGCTTTTAGTACTTGATATTTTAAAATATTTAAAATATTTACATGACATAGGTATTTTTCATTTCTTAATGTCTTTGTTTATCCTGTCCAGATTGATTTTTCCATGGTGAAAAATATAATTGCTGATAAAGATATCGTGACTACACTGCACAGGTGGCGTCTAAATGTGCTGCGTTTGAATTTCCGTGGTTGCATTCTCCGACCAAGAACTTTGAGATCTATTGGTATGTGTCTTCACTATAGCTGCTGGTCTTGCTTTCCTGTTTTCTAATTAAATCAGTAAAAAAAGAAAAGAACAAATAAAACAGAAACTTTGGTGGCATTGTTAGGTCATAAGGATGCCAAAAACAAATATTTAAACAAAGGGACAGACATTTGGTGCAGATGCTGCTTGGGATGCCCACATCCCCTATCAGAGTGATTGGGTTCAAGTCCTGGCTCCATTTCCAATTCCAGCTTCTTGCTAATGTGCACCCTCATAGGCAGCTGGTGATGGCACAAGTACTTGGATCCCTGCCACCCACACGGGAGACCTGGATAGAGTTTCAGGATCCTGGCCTCAGCCTGACCTAGGCCTAGCTATCAAGGACACTTGGAAAGTGAGCTAGTGGGCCGGCACTGTGGCCCCATAGGCTAATCCTCTGCCTGCGGCGCCGGTACCCCGGGTTTTAGTCCCGGTTGGGGCGCCGGATTCTGTCCGGGTTGCTCCTCTTCCAGGCCAGCTCTCTGCTGTGGCAAGGGAGTACAGTGGAGGATGGCCCAAGTGCTTGGGCCCTGCACCCACATGGGAGACCAGGAGAAGCACCTGGCTCCTGGCTTCGGATCAGCGCGGTGCGCCGGCCGCGGTGGCCATTGGAGGGTGAACCAACGGTAAAGGAAGACCTTTCTCTCTGTCTCTCTCTCACTGTCCACTCTGCCTGTCCAAAAAAAAAAAAAAAAAAAAAAAAGTGAGCTAGTGGATGGAACATTCTCTCTGTCTCTGTCTCTGTTTCTACCTGTCTCTGTGCCTTTTAAATAAGGTAAAACAAATGAACAGGAGTTGTACATTCAACAGTTGGTCTTTGCCCATTCTTCTTCTTTTTTTAAAAAAAGATTTATTTATTTATTTGAAAGTCAGAATTACAGAGAAGCTGAGGGAGGGAGGGGGGAGAGAGAGAAAGAGAGAGATAGAGAGAGGGGAGGGGGGAGGTCTTTCACCTACTGGTTCACTCCCCCAAATGGGTGTAATGGCTGGAGCTGGGCGGATCCGAAGCCAGGAGCCAAGAGCTTCTTCTGAGTCTCCCTCGGGGTGCAGGGGCCCAGCACTTGGGCCATCTTCTACTGCTTTCCTAGGCTACAGTAGAGAGCTATATTGGAAATGGAGCAGCTGGGACTTGAACCGGTGCCCACATGGGATGCCAGCACTGCAGGCAGTGGCTTTACCAGCTGCAACACAGTGCCGGCCCCATCCATTCTTCTTGACTGGTTTTCTTTTCTTTTCTTTTTAAATTTTATTTATTTATTTATTTATTTATTTTAGATTTTATTTTTATTTATTTGAAAGAATTACAGAGAGAGGTCTTCCATCTGCTGGTTCAAGCCCCAGATGGCTACAGTGGCCATAGCTGAGCCGATCTGAAGTCAGCAGCCAGGAGCTTCTTCCCAGTCCCCAATGTGGGTTCAAGGGCCCAAGGACTTGAGCCATCTTCTGCTTTCCCAGGCCATAGCAGAGAGCTGGATGGGAAGAGGAGCAGCCGAGACTAGAACCAGTGCCCATATGGGATGCCAGTGCCTCAGGCCAGGGCTTTAATCCACTGTGCCACAGCTCTGGCCCCCTTGACTGGTTTTCTTTTTTGTTTATTTAACATGTCTATCTGTGTCTCATCAATTTATTTACTAAAATATAATACATGAACATTTTTCTTTATTCAACACACACACACATACACATACACACACAGCTTCTACCCACTCCCAAAATGGCTGCAACTGCCTTGGCTTGGCCAAACCAAAGCCAGGTGCCAGGAACTCAATCCGGGTCTTGCACATGGGTGGCAGGTATTCAATTACTTGAATCATAATGTGCTGCCTTCCAGGGTGTTCATTAGCAGGAAGCTGGAATCAGATGGTGGAGCCATGACTTGAACCAAAGCACTCCTATATAGGTTGCAAGAGTTTCAGGCAGTGTCTTAACCTCTACAGCCCCAAGATACATGTTTTACTAGACACATATTTCTGGAAATGAGAGAAATAGTATATATTTTTTAAAAGCATGCATCCATTCTGATTCTAGATAACGAGAAAGAATGTTACATATACTTGTACATGTGTAAATGTCAATATGGGTTAGTCTAAAGAGATTAATGGGTAAAATGAAGTTGCAGAATTATATATATAATCTGATACCATTTGTATATAATTTTCAACATGAAAATATATGTATATACATTACTTTTGTTCTGAAATAAGTTAACAGTATTATTTATTTATTTAAAAGGCACAGTGACAGACAGAGAGAAAGAGAGGGAGAGAGAGACAGAGACAGAGATACATGTGGATCTTTTACATCTTTTGATTCACTCCACAAATGCTTGCAAAAGCCTGGCCGGGCCAGTCCAAAGCCAAGAACCAAGAGCTCCATCCTGGTCACCCACATAGGTAGCAGGGGCCCAAGTTCTTAGTTCATCCTCCACTGCTTCCTGGGTGCATTCCCAGGGAGCTGGATGGTAAATGGAGTCGCTGGGACTCAAACCAGGCACTCTCATATCAAACGCAGGTGTCACAAGTGTGACTTAACTTGCTGCCCCACAATAGCTACCCCTCAATCACATATTTTAAAGGAAATATGTATACACCTGGTAACCCATGGAAGACATGCACAGGGTAAAAAAGCTACAAATGCAAGATAGTGTCATGGAAGGTGGGAAAAGTGTTTAATAAAATAGGGAAAAAGTACACAAGGAGTTTCAACTGTATCAGCAAAATAGCTTTTTTTAAAGAAGTCATACAAAATGGAATAATTCTGACTGGTTATTTTCAGTGCTCTAGAAAGCTGTAGTTTTTGTGATGTTATTGTAGCTGATCACATAGTAAACTGTCTTCTTGTTTTCAGCAGTTTTAAAAAAGATTTATTTATTTACTTGAACGGCAGAGTTACAGGGTTGAGGGGAGAGACAGAAATATCTTCCATCTGCTGGTTCACTCCCAGTGACCACAAGGACCTAAGCTGGCTGGGCCAAAGCCAGGAGCCAGGAGCATCTTCCAGGTCTCCTTTGTGGGTTCAGGGACCTAAGCACTTGGGTCATCTGCTGCTGCTTTCCCAGGTGTATTAGCAGGGTATTGGATCAGAAATGGAGCAGCTGGGTCTCTATCTGGTGTCCATATGGGATGCAGGAGGCTTAACCTGCTACGTCCCAATGCCGGCCCCAAGAACTGTTCATTTCTGATCCACCATTTCTGCTTTGTTTCTCAGCAATGTTATAGAATTTTGAAAAAGTGAATTCGTTTTTTGCAATTTGGACAGGAGAAGGAAGCTGATAATGTGTTTATTTTGCCATTTTTGTACAATTTATCACTTTTGTAATACATTTTACAATAAATTTTAATAAAGTTATTATAAATCTCATAACATTAGCTGCCCAAACTTTCTCTGACTCAGTTCTGGTCCCCCCCTCCTTTACCCCCCATATGTATAAGGGCACATCAGAAAAGTCTCTGAACAAATGGAATTAAAAGATGTGTCTTTTCCATGAACTTTGGAAACCTCCTCTTATGTGTCAGTATATACATACTTGTCTCTACACACATTTGTATGTACACACATGAAAAATGTATAGAAAACATACTGTAAAATAGATGTATGTTTCCTGGTAAAAAGGAAATAGACTCAAGAGGCAACATCCATAGTTTTGGTTTGAGCTAAGATTGTCATGATAATAACTGTATTGAACACAGTTGAAAGAGTTCTTAGGAATAGCAGGGCCTGTGACCCATTATTTATTGAGATAAAATGCACATAACATAAATTTCACCTTTCTGACCACTTTAAAGAATACAACTCAGTGGGTCTCAGTGTATTCACAATGTTGTGTAAGCGTCACCATTATCTAATTTTGGGACATATTTTCAGCTCCTAAGGAAACCCCACATCGACTGCTGTTTATTTCTACCCATTTGGTCATGGTGAGAGCAGACATCCATGTCTTGTTCCTGGTCCCAGGGGGAAGGTTTACAGTCTCTTACTATGAAATTAGATGTTTACTGTGGGTTTTAAAAAACAAGTGCTCTTGATTAGATTTAGGGAGTTCCCTAATATTCCTGCTTTCCTGGGGGCTGGTTTTTGTCAACGCTCTTCTGGATGAACTGAGATGGTTTTGTATCTTCAACATATTGTATGGTATATCATTGATTGATTTGTGTGTGTTGAACTACACTGGCAACCCTGAGATCAAAGTTCATTTGTTCATGGAATGTAATTCTTTTAAGATGCTACTAGATTCTATTCGCTAATACATTTTTAGAGTTTATTTATTTATTTAAAAGGTATAGAAAGGAGAGGGATCTTCCAACCTCTGGTTCCCTCCCCAGATACCCACGGCATCCAGGGCTGGGCCAGATTGAAGGCAGGAATTTCATCAGGGTCTCCCATGTGGTAGGCAGGGGCCCAAGCACTTGAGTCATCGTTTGCTGCCTACAATGGTGCGCATTAACAGGAAGTTGGATTGGAAGTACGGGTGGCACTGGAACCAGCATTCTGATATGGAACGCAGATGTCTCAAGTGGCATCTTAACCATTGTGCCATAATGCTGGCTCCTATTTGCTAATAAATATTTTGTGAAGAATTTTTGTAACTATATCTTCCTTTCTTATTACGAACTTTTTTTTTTTTTTTTTTTTTTTTTTTGCTGTTGTTGTTATTTGAAACCATTAGCCAGGAGCCTAGTCATGGCCTCCTACATGGGTGGCAGGGACGCACGGAACAGAAATCACCGGTTGCCTTCCAGGGTGCATGTTAACAGGAAACTAGGATGGAGAATGGAGCAGGACTGAAACCCAGGCACTGTAATATGCAAATGTCCTAGGCAGGCTCTTAACCACTGTATGAAATTTGATTTTATTTATTTTCATTTTATTTGAAATTTTTATTCTATTTATTTTTGTTTATTTTCACTTTATTTGAAAGGTAGAGATGTAGACATAGAGAGACACAGACTGAGAGAGATTATCCACCCTGAGATTTACTCC